TTGAAATACAAATTCTAGTACATCTACAGCTGATGATTCTCGCAGAACGCTTTTTTCTAAAAAGATTTAACTCTTCATACAAATCAGTTTCATGTAAGCCTGAATTTAGTTTTAAATGTAAATGTATACAATGATACATTGTAAATGTATCAGTGTATACAATGATATTTTAATGTTTACTGTCTGACATTTCCTGTAACTTCTGGAGGTTATACCAGAAACCAAAAGTGGCTTCATGACTTGTATATAGTTCAGTCACCTATTTATGCATTCTTTCGCTATACCTTGAATTACAAGGGAAATTTATTTTTAAACTGTCTTCCTCTTTAATCATTGGTTCATCAAAGCTTGATATGGATATAGTGTTTTTTACCATCAAATGTGACAACGTTTACGTTTAATTTCTATTTATAAACCTTTGGATATTCGTAGCATTACAATAGCTTTCAAAACCAGAGATTCTAAGTTCACTGACAAGTTCTAATAACTCCTGGCATGCTGTATTGCAATGTCCATGTGTTTACTTCAATTCTGTAATAGTTTACTGACAAAGTTTACTGCCTGAGCCCTTGCAGTTCCTACCCTGGCCCTCAGGCCAGAGAGTTAATGTTTATGTAGGTCCCCCCAGCACAGGCTCCAGGGATAGAGTTCCTTATCTCTCCTAGTGTCTCTCACTGATGCCACCATCACCACCAGCAACCCAGGCGTAGGTCCCAGCCCCGGCCACCCCCTATCCAGGACCCCAGAGTGCCCCAGGCCACCCCAGGCATATGTGTGTGTGTGTAGCCCAGCAACCAAGCTAACTGCTTGGAGCACTGCCCACTGTGCCTGTGTGCACTGCAACCTGGCACATCCCATGTGCATACTGTGTTGTCCTGCCAGACGTCAATTACAAAGCAGAAGTTCAAAGAAAAAATTACTGACTTTCAAGATGGCAACAGCAAAGCACTAAACGAAGTCCTTCTGAGAGTGGGACTCTGAGACTTGAGAGGTTGCACACCTGTGAAGCCAGCCATGATGACCATCCTGGCTAATATTTACTGAACTCCCCACATGCCAGACCTGGTGTAGGAAGCCATGTAATCCTCACAACGATCCGATGAGGTCCTGCTATCATCCCCATTTTACAGATGGGGAAACTGAGCGTCCTGAAGGTAAAGTGACTTACCCAGGGTCACACAGCTAGCAAGTGGCAGTGTCTGCACACCCAGTCTGGCTCCAGAGCCAGTGCTCCTAACAGCTCAGCTGTACTTCTACTTCATTCTACAGTGGGAGGATTATCAACCACCTCTACTCTCAGAGTTCTCAGTGTCTCATCCACCACAGCCCATCCCTGCAGGCAGGCAGAGCTAGATGCCCAGCCCAGGTTTCTTGCCTCCCAGAGTGAACAGAGGAAAGAGTTCAGGCCAGGACTCCAACCTGCTCAGTCATAGATTCCGGTAATTGTACCTAAGGGGCCTGCAGTGAGGATGCCCAAGAAAGATTTATTTCACTGTAGCCATGACCTATTAGGAAGTCCTGAAATCAATTTGGTGGGCTGTGCCCAACAGTTTCAAAATATGAAATAGAAAAGAAGACAAAGTGTCAGAGTGTACCCCTGAAGTAGCGTGACTATTGTTTTGCATGGGTTCAGTGTTAACTCTATTTGTGTGTGCTGGGTCACACATCAATTCTATTTCTTTCTGTGCCTCCTTGAACACAAGTCCAGCTCAGATAATTACGTTTCAGCTCTGCTGGCCAGCGGGCATACCCAGCACAGTTGTCACTCCTGCAGTCTGAGGGCACCATGGTCTCGTTGTGAGCCCCATCACCCCCAGTGATCTGGTTTCCCTGGGGTACTTCGTGCAGAGGCTGGGCCCGGGCCTGTGGAGGCACCCCTCCTGGAGGGCCTCAGTGACTGGATCTGGAGGAAGTCAGATTTCTGGGCCAAGACTTGGGTTGAGGAGGGCGGGGCACCTAGAAGGAGGCTCCAGTGAGCTCCTGCATCTGGACCTCTCTGCATCTGGACTACCCCAATAGCATCATCCCCCACCCCAGCCCCGCATCCCATCTAGGACAGTGGCATGGGGTCCTGCACTGCCAGCGCCCTGGAGGGGCGTGAGAAACATAAACCCAAGCCAGACCCCATGGTGCCTGGGGAATGGAGTCACTTCAGCAAAGAGGCTCGGCCGTGGGGATGAGCATGAGACAGGCGACACACTCAGCACCTGTCAGGTGGTCGATCAAGGTCTTATTGTCACCATGAGTCCCAGAACGGATCCTGGCAGAGCGGTTGTCAGGGACAACAGGCACATCCACATCCAGAGCCCCTGCAGCTTGCAGGCCCTGTGCAGGGTGCCTTATAAGGCATAGCTCCTTGGTGCTGGCATTGACCCCACCAGGTGTTGACATTCCCATTTTACAGAGCAGAAAACTGAGGCTCAAGGAGGAAACGCCTTGCTCAGAATCCCGCAGCTGCTAAGTGGAGATAATACACGTCAGGGTGCATTTGGGCATTCAGACTTGAAGTGTTAGACCCGGGCTAGTCCAGCTCCCTTGCAGCAAGTGGGGAAACAGAAATGAAAGGATGGGCTCCAGGCCCCACAGGGTTTTGGAAGCAGAGCTGAGGCTAGAATCAACCTTGCCCACCATCCATGGGTAAAGTTTCCACCTGCACCCGAGGAGGCCCGCCCTGCCTCTCTTAGGACCTGCCATCGCCTGCTTCTCTTGCTTTGGTGAAAAAGTCAGGGCCTCGGATCCTGGGACCTGGATATAGTTCAGGGGCCACCACCAATGTGCTGTGCAGCCTCCTGGGAAAAATCCACATGTTTTCCTGCCGATAAAATGAAGGGGCTGAGCTTGGTGAGTTACACAGCCAGCGAGGCATGCATGTTAGGGCTGTCAGATAAAATATGAGTGTCCAGTTAAAATTTTCTGAATGATTTTTCAGTATGTCCTCAATACTTCATGGGACATACTTATACTAAAAGTCATTGTTTATCTGAATCCAAATTTAACTAGTGTCCTGTATTTTTATTTGCTAAATCTGGCAGTCCTCTTTGTGGTCTAATTTGGATAATCTGGGTGTTCTTATTCAGCAAGATTCAGAGAGTGTGACTTTGAGCTGTAGGTAAATGTGGGACAGGGTAACTAGGGAGGGAGGGACTGAGTTGTTTGGAAAGAGGCAGATGACCTTCCTCCTGCAAAGCAGCTACCAGTCCTGTAGGCCAATGCGGTTAAAGCAAAGAGCTGAACTTCCATAGGATACAGTTGTGATGGAAACCAAATCTGGCCCCCTTGCCAACAGCATCTCATCTCGGGCCAATTACTGGGCTCCTGTCTTTCCATAAGTAGGTAAGTGGCTCAAGCAGAGCTGCCTTGCGAGGGCACTGGGTGCATTAAGTGAAATGTGTACAAAGCACCAGGTACAGAGCAGGCTTTCAACAGCACTAGAGCAGCAGCTATCACCCCGGCTGAATGCTGCCATAAACAGGCTCGGAGACACTCCATCATCATCTGCTGAGCAGAGAGACGCTGGGCTTCTCCACAAGGACGCCGGCCAGACTGCACACAGACCTCCACAGGATCACAACAAGCTGGCTTCCTCCTCTAGAAATGGTGTCCACTGGGGCTCGCCCTCTGCCCTCCCATTTCTTCTCTAACTCCTTTTTCCTCACTAACCCAAACCAACTTTGCTCTGGGTGATCCTGTTTTCACCTAAAATACATTTCCCAGCCTCCCTTGCAGCTGTCTTGGCCAAATGCCGCCATCTTGGTCCCTGAGATACACGTGGAAGTTGCTTTCTGAAAACTCTTCTAGAAAGTGGGGCTTTCTGGAAGCTCTTTGTAAAAGGAGGCTGACCATCGGGAGCCTCCCTTTTGCCCTGCCCTTTGCCCCCAGCATGCCTGGAGTGCAGAAGCAACGCTGGAGGTTGGAGAGCTGCCCTGGGGGCAAGGGATATACGCACAAGAGCCAGTGCTGGAGGGAACTGAGTAGAAAGAGGTGCCTGGGCCCCTCTGGGAAGCTGCTGTCCCTGTCCCTGCTGCTCACTGCTGGACCTTTTGTTATGTGGTGAAGCCACTGTGGTCGGGTCTTTGCTTCAGGCAGGCAGACCTAGTCCCTGATGTCTACACCCATGTGTGTACAGGACCCACCATGCCCCCTGCCCCCATTTTGTAGCTGTATATCAATTAATAGCCTATAAAGCCCTACAACAGCCCCATAACAGACACTGCTGGTGCCCTACCCACATCCCTTGTCCTTGCCACCCCAGGGGGCACACTGGCCAGCCTTCCAACTGCAGGGTCCATTTCCCTGCTCAAGGCTCTTCTGGCCTCCTGTGCCCCACCCCCCTTGTCACCTGCACAGCAGGCTGGAAGGAAAAGGAATTGACCCTTCCTGGAAGCCATCCTCCAGCACTGATGGAAGGGAGTTGGTGGATAAATACCCCACCTTCCAGGCCACTGCGTGGGAAGCTCTCAGGTATGGGTCCTACCCTGGCTCCCAGAATTTCCCTGGGGGTTCAGCCACAGTTTCTTGCTGACACAGTGCACCCTCTCATGTCTGTCCTCCCCTGCCTGTTTCAGTTCCCCACTCCCCTACTTGGATCACCTCCCAAACTACCTGCTTTGTGCAGGTCCTGATCTCAAGGTCAGCTTCCAGGGGACTTAAATGCATACAAGATGATTGTGTTACTCCATCTTCATCCCATCCCTTGAGGCTGATGGGCAGCAGTACTGTCTTTATAATTCAGTAGAGGAAACCAAAGTGTCCAAGAGGCTGAGGAGAGGGGCTGCTCAAAGTGCGCCAGAGACTCAGGGCTGCCGGGCACAGTGTGCCCTGCGAGCAGGTACGCACTGCACTCACCCTCTGTGCTTGCAGAGGCAGACACACTCCACCAACATTTTCCCACATTAAAGCTGCTCAACTTTTAGTCCGTAGAGGGAACACTTACAGAGCAGACACTGCCAAGCCCCAGACAAAAGACAGATTGCGTCTGTTGTGCAAACACACATGCACAATTTATTTTTTCCTGGGTCAGTAGAGCCGTCCTGGCTGTCCCATCCGCAGGACCCCAGGATCTTCCACTCTTCCTCCACTGAGGGAAATACACCTTTGGAAGCTGACTCCCGTGTGTCCAGAATGCGTCCTGGGGTTCCGTCGGTGCGGGGGTGGGCACTGCTTTATGCTGCAGAGTTGGAAAGGGAGAGCAGACAGTTTACTGCCAGGAGAAAGCTATGGAGCCCAAGGGCTCCTTCAGATGAAGCACAATCCATGCTTGCTCTGCTCATCTCAGACATGCCTGCAGAGACAACTGTGCACTGGTCCCGGACAGAGAACTCGGACAGGGTCCTGGAGAAAGGGGTCTGAGAGGAGGGCCCACCTGGTGCTCCACTGGACACAACTCAGGCTTAGGCAGGATGGCTGGGTCACATCATCAGCCCCAATTTATTCCCCAGTGTCACCGTCTGAGACTTGGAGCTCTCTGAGGTCATAAAATGTCTCCTGGGATTTCTGGCTTCCCAGCACCGAGCCCAGGGCTCGGAGGATGTCTCTGGATGGAGTGAACCAAGTGAGTGGGCTGAGGGGAACCACAGGAAACAGAGGGTGGTGGGAGGAGAGAAGGAGCTGAACCCGCAAAACCACTTTCTGGACATTACTTGACACCAGATGCATTGATAAATTTGGAGCCAGTGATCAGTAAATGTTTTCTAAAAGCTGGGTTTCCTTTACATTATACTGTCCAGGCACCACATCCAATGCCTTCCATCATGCCTTCCCTGGGAAGGACACCCACGTGAGAACACGTGGACATCAACCAACCCCCAGAGCATCCTTCGTCTGCTCCCCAGAGCTGCTGCTGTCATGACTGCAGTAAATGGATCCAATTCACAAGAAAAGAAAAAGGCCACAGGGAGGGAGAGGGAGCCGGGGCCCATGGGCTTATCAACACTGGAGAACACACCTCCTACCTGCTTCCCACATCCAGTAGGAACCTGAGCCTGTGTAATCCTCCTTTCTTAGGAGCGCTCAAGCCTGGCCCGTTGCGGAGCACAGGCTCCGGACGCACAGGCTCAGCGGCCATGGTTCACGGGCCCAGCTGCTCCGCGGCATTTGGGATCTTCCCGGACCGGGGCACGAACCCGTGTCCCCTGCATTGGCAGGAGGACTCTCAACCACTGCGCCACCAGGGAAGCCCCACTTACACTATGTAAGGATAACAATTCACATGGAATCTGGCCAGGGCAAATGCTCTCAGGCGAGGATGGTGAGGAGAGGGCACGGGAGGGAAAGAGGCCAGGTCTCCAAATTCCCAAAGCAGCAGGACCTGCTCCATCCGCCTCACTGCCAGGGCCCTCGGCCTTGAGGCGTCGCTACTAATAGAGCAGGGATGCTCCACCCTGTGCCCAGATGTGATGTGTTCTGGAGTCACTGCTTCACCACGATGTGAGACCCCAAGTGTCCCACCCAGCGTGAATCAGCAGGGGACTGGGGTGCTGTCCCATTCGTAGCAAACAGACAAGCTGTCAGTGAACAAATCCGTCTGATTCTCGCCTGCACAGTGCTGGTGGCCAGCCAGTAATGCACCAGTGAGGCTACGCCAGGTCTGAGAGTACTGACATCTGCCGGACTGATTGGTAAACAGCCACTGCCCAGGAGCTGCCCGATCCAGCAGCCAAGGGGGTTAAGGCCTGGTCCAGCAGGGGCCCCAGGGACCCTGCTCTCAGCTCACGGCCAGCCATGTCTCAAGAAATTCCTGTTGTTAGTGATTTTTGACACTACCCCATTCATAAACAGATAGAAGACGTCTGGAAGGAAGGAGATGCAGGAAGAGGCGAACAGTAAAAGCTTCTAGGGAGGGCAGGGAAGGGATCCGGCAGGGGAGTGGGGAGTGAAGCGGAATGGTCACGTTTTATGTTTCTCCAAAAGGTCACATTTAAATATTTTACAGTGAAATGGTATTCATGATTTTTTTCTTCAAAGAGGAGTGTTTGCACAGGACACAGCCACGTATGTGCTGTATGCCCTCCCTCACCTCCTTGGTGCCAGGGTGCGGGGCTCCCTGCCTGCTGTGCCTCTGGCCCCTTCTTTGCCTCAGGAGCTTGGGACTGTCCTCTTGGGTCCTTCCTCTTTCAAGTCCTTCTAGAAGCCCACCTCCCATAGATAGAGAACTGCCTCCCAACTGAGTGCCCACAGCACCTTGTCCATGGAGGGAAGCTCTCCGCTGGGACACTGCACGCCGACAGTCTAGTGACTCAGGATCTGTCCACCTGATTAGAGCTTGAGGCCAGGGGCTTCTCCACCTCTTCATCCCCTGGCAGTGCCCAGCTCAGGGCCTGGCACCCAGTGGGTGCTGGATTTAGGATCACAGTATCATCGTTCATCTCCGTACATCCCCCAGCACCCAGCAGCAAACCTGGACGCACTGGCCATGTGGGAAGCATGCTGAGTAAAGATGTGGGGGACGCAGGCATGAATAAATGAATGGACAGGAACCTCTGGGCCTCGGTTTTATAGACCAGCGAGGACCTGGAGGGAGCATGCGTGTGGCCTGGGGAGAGGGGGAAAGGGACTGCCCCGGACGGCTGGCTCACTCGTGTCTATTACTCGCAGGCCGAAGTGGGACAGCATCAGGACCATGTTCAGGTTCTCAAACTCCTTCTCCAGGACGACCCCGTAGGTCTTCAGGCCGGCCAGCTCCACCTCCAGCCTCTGCCGCCGGTTCTAAAAGAACAGCAAAGGGTTCAGGCAGTTAGCTCCAAGACTTTCCAAGGGAATGAATGAAAGAATGAATGAATGAACAAACGAACAAGTGACTAAATAAGTATATAAATATGTATATAAGTAAATGAACAAATAAATAATTAAAAGTAAATAAGTAAATAGGCCCCAAGTAGATAAATAATCAAATAAATAAACAATTAAACAAAGAGGGTCTTGCAGCTGCTCTCAGAATCCATGAACATAGTCAATCTCCCTTCCCCACACCTCCAGTAAGTAAAAGAGCTACCCCACTGACACAGCCTCCACTTGTCAAAAATCCTATTACTTCGTGCTGGACCCTTTATATCACTCAGTATCTCACCCTCCTGCTGAGGATGCGTCCCCGCCTGGGAAGCGAGGTTCCGGGGTGTCAGTGGCCTGCCCCAGCCCCATGACCACGGACGGGAGCCCAGACCCACAGCTGGGCCTGATTTCTGAGCCAGCCCTTCTCATGCTGCCATCTACAGGGCCCTGGGGGCCAGGATGACATGGGGCAGCCCCAGGGCAAGGGCTGTGTGTGCAGTGGGTGGGCTCCCACCCTGGAGAAGGCTTGACTGTGTGTCCCGCCCTCGGCCCCTCCCAGCATCCCTGGCAGGCAGGCGTGGTGGTCCTCCTCTAAGATGTGGGCTGGGAGTTCAGTGAGATGCCTTGCTAAGAAGGTCCCGGACAGTAAGGGACACCCCTCCCCACCCCGGCACACACTCTCCCTGCCGCCCAGGCTGCTAAGCGAGGAGCCCTGGCAGGGCTGATTTCCAGGGACCTATGTCAGGGGGGTCATTGCACGATGGCTTCAGATAACTGGGGTATTTCCTTTTTTTTTTTTTTAAACATTCACTGTTCTTCAAAATTCTGTAACAAAACTACACTCAAAGGAAACAGGAATTGCCGTGGAACTTTGTGGTGCACAGAAGTGTGGGATGAAGGATCTGCTGGAGGCATTGGAGGGGACAGCCCCAGAGGGCGATGCCATGACGCCCACTGGTACCCTGCCAGGTGGATCAGTTCATGTAATCGCTCACAACCACCCCATGGGGCGGACCTACTGTTCCCCCCAGTGGTGCATGGAGAGACTGATAACCGGGGAGGTGAAGAAATGAAGCGGGGAGCCCGAGGCACACAGCTGGGGGAAGAGCCTGGATTCCAACTCCGAGAGCCTGTGCTCGGGACCACAGCAGATGCCACGTCCTTTCTGGACCTCTTTAAGGCTTGTGCTTTTTAAGTAAGCACCAGACTCCTAGGAATCCCTCCCCAGGGAGCTCAAGGATGAGTGTAAACACTGACAAGAGTGTTCACAGTGTTATTATAATATAATGATTGGATGTAGCCAAAATGTCCGCCAACTGGGAAACGGGAATCCATTATGGTTCATCCACATAATGACATATTTTGCAGTCATGAGAGGCAATTCTTACAAGGACATCGGAGGAGATGTGAAAAGGCTTACTTACTATGGAATGAAATGGCAACCGTAGGAATCAAACTGTGTGGGTTTTATTCCAATTTTTCCTTTGTCTCTGTCTCTCTTCCTACCTACCTACCTATCTCTACCTATTTAGATAAATACAGAGATACATAAATATATAGATAATATACAAATATATCTATGTAAACAGATTTACGTATTTGTGGAAAACAAGACTAGAAGATGCTGCACAAATGTTAATGATGCTTCTCTAATGATTGGATTTCATTTTTCTGAAAAATTTCAAAATGTCTTCGGAAATTTCAAAATTTTCTTCCAGGAATATAACTTAATTTTGTATTCAGAATAAAATAACACATTTAAAAATTGTGACTTTTTGCACGGTTTCACCACATCTTCTCTTTGCTTTCATCAAAACAGGTGCCACCCATCAATGCATAAATGTGCACACACTTGCCAACTGAAAATTATTCCCAATCCACACCAGGCAACCCTCCTTGTGGTATGTGGTCCAGACCTCCTCTCATGGAACAGGATGCGAACAAGGACGCTCGTCACACCCTAAGCTGTGGTCACGGAAGCTGGTGCAAACCGGGGCCCCCAACGGGGGGAGTGGGCCAGGGATGTGCAGTGGGTAGAGAAGTAACAGGCCAGATGCCACGGGGCAGCGTGGATGAACATGGAGCCTTGAGTGAAGCAAGCACGCAGCACAAGAAGGCTCACAGCACAATTTCTCTACGTCGGAAACACAAACACTCTGTATTTTACAAGAATGTATAACAGGTATGCTCTAGCAGGAATGGTGGGGAGGCGAGTGGCACCTTGGTTTGTGATGCGTTATTTCAATCGGGCCACATGGTCTTCTTCCCCTGCCTCCCGACCCCACCAGGTAGGGCCCTGAGCTGAGCAATGGGGCTACAGAGATGGGACTGGGCACTTCCCTCCCGAGAGCCTCACCTGAAACTCCAGCAGCTGCCTCTGCAGGGCCTCCTGCTCTACTTGAGCTCTTTCTAAAGTCTTCCTCAGCTCTCTGAGCTCAAATTCTTTGACTGGGAGGAAAGGGGAGAGAAGGCTGCCTTTATCTGTTCTTTCCATCAAAAACCTCCCCTTCTCTTTGAACCGCACCTCACACAGGCAACAGCTGGGACCCTGACATGTACAGGGCATCCTCAAAACCCTTTTTAATATTGCCTATTTCATTCTCTGATAATATAAAGGACACCTATCCATTGAGGGAAATAAGAAAGGAATAAAGAAAGGAATAAAGAAAAACAGCACCTTCCTCTTGCCTGCCAGAGGTAACCACTGTTAACATTTGCACAGATTCACATATGCATAATTTTATAAATATAGTTGAGATCGTAGGGAAGTTATGAAGAACATGGGTCTTGGAACCCATCCCATCTCAGCTCACTATCTATACAACCATGGGCAAGTTACTTAACCTCTCCGTGCTGCACTTTTCTCATCTTTAAAAGGAGGGGATACTATAACCGACCTCACAATTAAAAGGTAATTTGTATAAACTTCTTAGACCTGTGCCTGGCTTACCGGAAGCCCTCGGTTATTTCCCATCTGACTATTATCTTTACTTATTGTTATTCTCGTAGTTGCAACCTTTCCTTTTTCTTTTTGTTTTTTTGTTCCACTTAATATTATAACCTATTATGTAGGTTGCTCTTACTAGGATTATAAAACCCTCGGCCACCAAAGTTACTAGGGAGTTGTAGAACTTGACTACTCACTTTTCAGAAGTTTAAAGATGAACTCTTGCAAGAAACGTAAGTCAAGTGAAGCAAAACTTGTCTCTGGAATCAGGCCTCTGAGTGGAAGTGGATCAGGGCACTCAGCTTCCTCCTCTGAGTCCCCTTTGTTCAAATTCTGACCTACCTCTCCCTCCAGAGGCTCCAGATGCTTCAAGCACTCAGCAGAATCTTTTTCAAATTCCCCTAAAAAGCGAAGAAATCCCGTGTCAAAGGTCAGCCCCTTGAGTATAAGATGAGTGGCTCCTCTGGGTCTGGCCCTCTGTCCAGATATGGGCAAGCCCGTCCCTTCCGAACCCCAGTCCCTGCGCCAGGTCCCCAGATGTACAAGAAGAATGTACTGGGACCAGTGCCAGATGGAGGGCAGCAAGGGAGGCTTCCTGGAAGAGGGGGTCCTTGACTGAGATGGGTATCTTTTTTCCAAACCACTTCATTGAGATCTAAATCACATACCATACAATTTACCCATTAAAAGTATATAATTAAATGGTTTTTAGTATATTCAGATACGTGCAGTCACCACCACAATCCGTTTTAGAACATATTCGTCACCTCCCCAAGAAAAGCCTGGTTCCGTTTAGCCATCACCCCCATCCCCCACCCTCCCTCAGCCTCAGGCAACCACTAACCTGCTTTCTGTCTCTACAGATTTCCCTATTCTGGACATTTCATATACAGGAAATCGTACAATCGGTGGTCCTTTGTGACTGGGCTTTTAACTTACCATGTTTGTTTTCAAGGTTCATGACATTATAGTACATAGCAGTGCCTCACTCCTCTTCAGGCTGAATATATTCCACTGCACGAATGGACCGTATTTTATCTATTTATCAGTTGATGGATGTTTGGGTTGTTTCCACTTTGGGGCTACTATGAATAATGTTGTCATGTACATTCATAATATTGTGTGAACATATATATTTTGTTCTCTTGGGTACATACCTAGGAGTGGAATTGCTGGGTCATATGGTAACTTTAAATTTTTGAGGAACTGCCAGACTGTTCAAAAGTGGCTGCCACATTTGATATTCCCACCAGCAGTGAATCAGGATGTGATTCCTCCATATCCTCCCCAGCACTTGCTATTATTCACCTTTTTGATAGGGTTTTGAAGGATGAATAGGAGTGAGACCCAGTACACAGAGGTGGGAAGGTCATTCCTGTAGAAGGGCAGCTTGATGAAAAGAAATTACAGAGCAGGGAGCTACAGGGAACCATTAGCAGTTTGAGATTCCTGGAAAGTAAGTGGGGAGGTAGGGAGTTGCTTATCCGCTACAGCCCCCAAGCTCATAATAATTACACAGTGGACACCCAGAGTGTGCCAGGCATCACAGGATTAACTCATTTCCTTACGACAGCCCTGTGAGGTCAGTATTATCATTATTCCCAATTTTGCCCTTGAAAAAATGAAGGCAGTGGGCAGAGAGTTCAGCAAAGGTGATAAAGGCAGTAAGTGGCAGAGCAGGGATTCAAACGCAGGTCCTTAATGGTGACAGGGCGCTGCCCACCTAAGATGTCACCAAGGCGGGGATGACTGTTGTCGCCACAGAAAGGAGACATCAAGTATTAAACTACCAGAGCCTCCTATGGAGGCAGAGGGCACCCTGGTGGCTGCCCAGGACCATTCCTGCTCACAGGGATGGGTTCTGTTGCGGTGATGAAAATGTTGTAAACTTAATTGCAGTGGTGGCTGCACATGTCTGTGAATATACTGAAAACTACTCTCCGTGGGTGAGTTTTATGGTGTGCGAATTAGATCCCAATAACACTGTAAAAACAAAGAGCTCTGGGACCTTGCCCCATACCTGCTTCCCACCCTGGTTTTGCTGAGAGGGAGTGGAGAGCTGGGGAGGGGACCGCTCAGGTTCTTCAGGGGCGGTGACAGCAGAAGCAGGCGACTCCTGGGCTCACTCTCATCTCAAGGGGTTGGGGGGATCCCAGGCAACGAGAGCCACATGAGATCCTGCTCCGAAAGGATGAGTGGCTAATGCCCCCTCCCATCAGGACCGAGACTCAGAGACCCAGAGACTCAGATACCGCAGCGGCTCAAAGCCCTGCTTTCCAACAATATCACAGCAATTAAGGCAGACGTGGAAACGCTCTTGAGAGCCTGACTGTTAACACAAAACTGGTAGGTGGTTTAGGGAGAAGACGAAGCAAGGTGTGCCCATGTCTGTTTCCCTTCAAATAACTGCAAAGGCCCTCAGAGAGTTACATGGAATCAGAGCCACACGTATCTACGGCCTCATGGTCCCCTAGCACATGATTTTATAGATTTTGAAACGAGCCGTAATCCTCTCCAGCAGGTAATTTACACAGTATAACTCTAGGCATATGGAGTGCACACATTATACTCAATTTCAGGTAATGAGATTCACTTTTACTTTCATTGCCATTACTCACCTTCAACAAGACATTACTGAAGACACTTTATTTCCTTACAAACCCCAGACAAAGGTGAGCCTCCTGTACATTTGTGCGTTCCCTCATCAAATGTTTATTGCAACCACACTATGGGCAAGAGATATGTCCTAAACCACATGGCTCCTTCCTTCCAGGAGAGCAGACGTGTGTGTGTGTGTGTGTGTGTGTGTGTGTGTGTGTGCACGCGTGCACGCGCATGCACGCACAGTCATGACTGTGTGTGAGCGTGTCTTGTGTCTGCATGTATGTGCACACACACATGTTGCAGGGTGATGGTGACAGTAGCAGGGGATGATAATTACTAAGCAAAGGGTACATGTCACACCCTCAGGAGCCCCCCACCCCATGTCTGAAACCAGGAAAGACTTCCTGGAGGAGGTGACATCTCAGCTGAACCAGGCCTGCACACGGCTCTGATATCCATCTTCAGAAGAGCCCTGTGAGGTGGGTGATTTCAACCGTACTTTACAGATGAGGTAGTGGAAGCACAGAGAGGTTAAGTAACTGGCCCCAGCCCACTCAGCAAGCACGGTGCTGAGAAGGGGCTGCACTGACCAGAGGCTGGTTACCTGTGAGGTTCTGCAGGTGCTGCTTCCCCAGCAGGTGCTCCCGCTTGTTATGCAGGGAACTGAAGAACTGCCTGCAGGTCCGACAGTACAGGTCATCGTTCTCATCCCCCTGCGGACGGAGACGGTTTCTGGTGAGCAGGGAGGAGGCGGGATCCCGCCTTCTCTGAACATAAAATTAGCTTAAAACGGCAGATGGGCTTCAGCGGGGCCAGGCGGGGTCTTGCTAGTCCTTTTTTCACCTGTGAGATCGCTTGCCGGGTTGAGGCTTTTCTGAGCACAGCTGAGAATTTCAACTCATCCCAAGGCCTCTGTCACCGAGTGAGAGAGAAAGTGTTAGGAATGTGGCAAAGAGGGTACGACAGGGAGGTTTTGAGAATTGGTGGTGTTGTCTGAGTCCACAACCAATTCTGAGTTTTTCATATTTTCAAAGAGTTTGCTTTGAAAACATGAACAAAATGAACTCTGTGACTAAATGACAAAGATGTGTCCTTTCGTCAAAATACATATGTACTAACCTGTAGGTGCTCATATATCCATGGACTATTCTGGAAGATGCACTAGAAACTGGTCAGAGTGGATGCCTTGGGATGCAGGGATGGGGCGGGGGAGTGAGGGACTGGGGCTCTGGGCACAGAACCCACCTCTTATTGTAAACCTTTGTGCACTGTTTGCATCTATTTTTTTTTTTTTTACCATTCACGTATGTTATTTTTAAAAGAAAAACAGTTAATTTAAAAAAACATAGAGCTGTATGTATTTGCTTACATTTAGTTCAGAGACGTAAAAACTCCCCCAGCTCTGACAAGAGAGGGTTCCTGTCACAGACTTGAAGTGTCCCCTGCTGCCCCGAGAGCTGGCGGGGAACTGACCATGCTCAGGACACTCTGCCACTCACTCTGCTTCTCAGGGATCCTCTCCCGCATCAGAAGGGCACTCCTTCAGCCCAGAGATGTGCCCCCAACTGGAAGAGTGTCTGTAGGGTTTCTTCCACACCCTCTGTGAGGCTTGCCTCTGCCTCTCACTAAATGAGCGGAAAGACCGGCTAAGAGAGGCCTCTTGGCCGGGAGCGAGGGGGCCCCAGGGAGCTCCACAGCGGGAAGATGAGGGCTGGCAGAGGGAGGGGGACTCGTCAGGAGGGAGCTTCATGGAGGAGAGAGAGGCCACTGCCGAGAAAGGGCCCCAAATGCTCATCGAGGCCGAGACATCAGAGCAAACATCCAAGCTGCACGTACACCTCAACAAAAAATTCCATCCTCTCACTTTTGCTTATAGAAATATGTCATTATTGTACGGGGCTTCCCTGGTGGCACAGTGATTGAGAGTCCGCCTGCCGATGCAGGGGACACGGGTTCATGCCCCGGTCTGGGAAGATCCCACATGCCGCGGAGCGGCTGGGCCCGTGAGTCATGGCCGCTGAGCCTGCGCGTCCGGAGCCTGTGCTCCGCAACGGGAGAGGCCACACAGTGAGAGGCCCACGGACCGCAAAAAAAAAAAAAAAAAAAAAAAAAAAAAAAGAAATATGTCATTATTGTAAAATTAATCGCACATAGCCCAGGGTGGTGGGGCTGAGCCTTTTAGGTTTGGTGACCTTTTGAACAGTTATGGGAGGGACCCAAAACTCATTCAGGTAATCCCTAGTACAGATCCTTTCACAACCTGAAGCCAAGACTAGGAACCACTGTCAAGAGAAAATGAATCACAAGGCACCCAAGAAAAAGCATCCAAGAAAAACAATAGCCAGGAACCATTTATCCTATTTCTCCATTAAAGTGCGAGGTCTTCATCTATGAGAATCAGTGCATGTTTCCCTGCAAATTCAACTAGAGCAGCTGCACTTTCATTGGGTACCAGGCACTGAGCTACTGGCCCTTGGCCTCTTGGCTTTGTGCCCCTGCATTACCAGGCATTAACAGGGCAGCCCCATAAAGAGTGTGACACACAGTCCCACCTACGCTGGTGGACAGAGATATGAGACCTGAAACAATAACAGTGACTAATATATTCAAGCCAGGCATGGACACTGCATGACTGACGGCTCTTACATCGTTCACAGTCATGTTCTGAGCTATATTTTGTTATGAGGAAGTCCAGCCTCAGACTTAAAGGTGTTTGACTAAGGTCACAGAATGGGTGAGGAAGAAAGGCAAGGATCTAAAAAAGCATGGTGCCTGCTGGCATCCCTCCATGGTGGGTGGGGGACATGGTGAGTAGGGAGATGGACGCCAGGTCATGGAAGGCAATGGGGAGCCAGCGCAGGCTCCAGGGAGAGGATGGCTGGGTTGGTGGGAGAGTAGCTGGCTGCGCAGAGCAGACCCCTTCAGGGGGAGGAGCTGCCGGCGGGAACTCCACTCATGTGGCTCCTTTCATAGCGGCTCCAGCCTGGGCCACAGAGGGCTGACCTTTCATGTGGACAATGGACTCAGGAAGTCCTTTGCCCTCTGTCTCAAATCATTTTCTAATGATAAAAGGTGGCGTACTTCAAACAATGTTTAAAACTATTATAAATTTGTGTTGAAAGTAACAGAAAAGGGGGGGTGTAAAGTGAAAAGTAAAAGGTACCCAGCTCCCACTTCTACTCACCGTACTACAAGAGCTTCTTGTGTAGCCTTCCAGAACGTTTCAATGTAAACACATCTGCCCCTTAAGAGTCACTTTCAATTGTTCTTCATTTGTTAAATATATACATTTCATCATCAATTAACTTCAAAGGGAAAACACCTACAAATTACACCTTAGCTCAGACCACCTGACAAGCCTGGTCCCCACTGCCCTGTCTTCGTCCCCATCCGCATACTGTCTGCTCCAGGCGTCCTGAACTGCTCAGAGCCACACACACACACTGGGCTGCTTCCCATCCCCGGGCCTTTGCAATTCTTGTTTCCCCAGCCTAGAGCTCCCTCTGTGCTTCATTTCCACCTGGCCAGCATTTCCTCTAGGAATTTCCCATCTCTTCTTCACGAGCATCATCTCAGAATCACCTGCCCTGAGACTGACTCGCCCAGAGTCAGGGGCCGCTCTCACTGTGCACGTGTCTCCATCACAGCAGATCCTGGTGTGAAGTGTTGCACGCTTGCCAGTTTCCGCTGAACAGGAGCCGTGAGGCTGTGCTTCACCCACCTCTGCATCCTCAGCCTGGTCTCCCACCTCCCACTGAGCTGGGCTCAGTACATACTTGTCCAAGGAACACACAAAGAGAGGCCTCCATAAGGGACTGACGTGTGAGCCACGCTCCAGCAATGCATGAAATCCTGTGCCCCGATGCTGTGGTTTCCTGGGGCTGCCATAACCAACTACCACAAACTGGATGGCTTAAAACAACAGAGGTTTATTCTCTCATAGTTCCGGAGACGAGAAGTCTGAAATCAGCCTTACTAGACCAAAATTAAGGTGTGGGCAGGGCTTAGGTCCCTCTGGAGGTTCTGGGGAGAATCTGTTCTTGCCTCTTCCAGCCTCTTCTGGTGGCTGATGGCTTCCTTAGCTTGTGGCTGCATCACTCCAATCTCTGCCAGTGGTCACACGGCTTCCTCCTCTTCTGTGTCAAGTGTCCCTCTCCCCCCCTCTTGTAGGGACACTTGTGAATGCATAATTCCCCTCCCTCAAGATCTTAACTTAGATCACAACTTCAAAGACCGACCGGGTTTTTGCCATATAAGGTAGCATTCACAGGCCCCAAGGATTGGGACCCAGATATCCTTTGGGAGGGACCATTTCTCAGCCGCCCACACCAAATGAGGGTGATTATTTTAAAACCACATCCCCCTGCCCCCCCAGCGAATACTTACGTCAATTGCTGAGAAGTCAAGGCCCTCGCTCTCAAACTCACATCCTAGTGTACCTGTTCCTGATGGAGAAAAAAACAGCATCATTTTACAAAGCATCTGTCTCAGAAAAGGCCTCAGCCTTATTGCAGAAGCATCAACTCAAGGGTCAGAAGCGCCTTCTGAGGCTGAAAAGATTTATCCTAAGAGGTCTCCATGCTTCCTGCTGGAGGATCAGTGCTTGACTTCAGCTGCTCAATTTCAGTAGAGGTCTGAAAATCCCTTATAAACCAAGAGGAAAAACCGGATACCTCTGACTTCATAAACACCTGGCCAGGTACGGAATGAAGATGAGAGAGAAACAAGGAAAAACATAAACAATTCTTTTTTTATTAGCATGGCAGAATCTAGTGGTATTTTTTTTATTATTATAATTATTATATTTTTATATAGTAAACTTTTAAATTTTACTGTGTTTTAAATAAGACAGAAATACATCTTATTTAAAAACCAAGCTCTCTTGGGGTGGCCTTTCTTTGTAACATGCCAGCTTGTCATGTGATGACAATCTACAAATAATCACAAAAATAAGAAGGCAGCAGAACTCCAGCATGGCTGAAGGATTAAGCATGATGCGGTGTTCTCCGCGAAGTCTGACATAGCATTCTTTTTCTTTTTTTTTTGCAGTACGCGGGCCTCTCACTGCTGTGGCCTCTCCTGTTGCGGAGCACAGGCTCCGGACGCACAGGCTCAGCGGCCATGGCTCATGGGCCCAGCCGCTCCGCGGCATGTGGGATCCTCCCGGACCGGGGCATGAACCCGTGTCCCCTGCATCGGCAGGCGGACTCTCAACCACTGCGCCACCAGGGAAGCCCCCCTGCTTGCTTTTGTAATTAAGTTTTATTGGCATGCAGCCTCACCCATTCATTAACATATTGTCTATGGCTGCTTTCCTGCTACAACCACAGAGTTGAGTGGTTGCGACATAGACTACAGGGTCCACAGAGAGTACAGTATTATCTAGTCCTTTACAGAAGTTTGCAGATACTCTCTCTGGATGAAGCTGTGGCAGAGGGGGAGGCTCATGCCCCAGTGCAGAGGGTATGAAGCACGAATTCTTACTGAACTCGCTGTGTGCCAGGCACTGAGCACCAAGCTCCTATGGTTTAACTAGTTTGATCCGCACCAGGCCCTGTGCAGGAGGTCCTATTACAGCCCGACTTCCTATATGAGGAAACGGAGGCACTAAATGCTTTAGTGATTTGTGCAAGATGGCAGAGCCAGGATTTGGACCCAGGCATTTGGACCGCTGAGCTCACACCTGACCACTATGGAGGCAGCGCTCAGCCAGGCCCAGGCGGGAGTGAGAAGCGGCAAAGTGGAGAGCTGATGGGCTCTGCCGGGATGCCGGTCAGCCCCCAGCATGGGGAGGGCAGGAAGAACCCTCAGGATGGACAGTGACGGACCCCGCACCACTGGTGAGGACACCCCACGCTGCCCTGAGGCCATGTGCCCCTTGGAGGGGAATGTGCCACGGGTGGGGTGGCAGCCCTGAGTCTGAATGTAAACTGGGCCTCTGGTGGGCACTGCAGTTGATACAGCTTCCAGTGAGGATGGTAAAGACGGTGAACGAGAAGCGACCTCCATGGTGAAGGCAGGGTCAGCAGACAATAAATGGAGTTCGTGTCTCTGCCTTAGGCCTGCACCCCCAGAGGCACACTCTGAGACAAGGATTTTGCTGCAAGCGGGGGTTTTTTTGGACTGTGATCTCAGGAAATGCTGGTAGAGGAGTGGGGAAGTGGGTCGGGAAGGGGAGAAAGCCAGTATGGGGGGCCTTGCTGAGCAGAGGCCACTACGGTCAATAGGGCGCAGTCCCACCAGGAGCCTCGAGGGGGCGCATGGGACACATCTCAGCATGGCGGGTTGCGGGAGTTGGGGTGTTTACATGCCATTCTTGCCATTCCTGTGCCCACTGGTTTAGGGATGTTCAGTGTGTTGATTCCTGATACATCAGGCCTGACTCCAGTTGGGCAATGCCGGGGCCTGCAGTAGGATGCTGTTGGCACGTGGGGACGTGCCACGTAGATGCTATGGGGAAGTGGACCCCCAGCGTAATCAGAGTGTGGTCCCTGCACCAGCAGCCTCGGCAGCGCCAGGGGCGTGTTGGAAATGCAGACCCCAGACCTGCTGGGTCAGAACCTGCATTTTAACAAGACTCCCGGTGATCCAGGGTACTTTCGAGTTTGAGAAGCAGTGAGTTCCATAACTGCGGGTTCCTTTCCTCTTTCTAAGGACTAAAATGTAATCACTGGCCCAGCACTACCTGACCATTCTCTGACGTTCCTGAGAAGGAGGGAATGAGATGCCTCCTCTTTAATCAGGTACAAGATGTGTCTCAACTCGGCCAGAAGAGCCGCAAAGGGAGACCGTGATGCCAGCGGCTTTGTTCGGGGCGTGGCTCTTCCCCCTCCCCCAGCTTTGCAGAGGTATAATTGACACGTTTAAAAATGTATATACTTAAAGTGTTCAAAGAGGATCTACTCAGTGAATTCAATACACAATAGCGAAAGGATAGTCTCTTCAATAAATGATGTTGGGAAAACTGGATAACCACATGCAAAAGAATGAAGTTGAACACTTATTTTACAGCATACACAAAAATGAACTTGAAATGGATTAAAGACTTAAATGTAAGACCTGAAACTGAAAAAACTCCTAGAAGAAAATGTAAGGAAAAAGCTCCTAGACGCCAGTTTTGGCAACAGTGCTTTGGATATGACACCAAAAGCACAGCAACAAAAGCAAAAATAAACAAGTGGGACTACATCAAAGTAAAAAGCTTCTGCGCAGCAGTCAGCAAAATGTAAAGGCAACCTACAAAACGGGAGGAGATACCTGCAAACAGTATATCTGACAAGGGGTTAATATCCATAATATATAAGGACGTGAATGCTGACCAAGGCTGAGACTAACACAGAGCATTTTTCAAATGTGCCTTCTGCTGTAAAACATCCCATAGCCTCAGGCCTGGGAGGCAGAAGCTGCAGCCCACCCGCCAGGCCCCACTCACCGCACAGCGCCTGCACTTTGTGCGCTGCCCGCCTGCGCAGGAAGGCTCGGTAGGCCTTGGAGCTCTGGTAGGCCTGCAGCTCTCGGATGTAGCGCTGCTTGTCTTCAACTGCCTCATACACATACCTCTGGAAGAAGGAGCACAGAGATTCTGAGACTCTCCTAATCTGGGGGAGGGGGGGCGGCTGGAGGTGTCCTCTTGTGCAACTTGCCTCACTCTTTCTAGGATGGTCCCAAGAAGCTATTGCTCATCTTCTACTTGCACACCTGCTGGGATGGGAACCTCACTACCTAACAGCAAGTTCATTCCTTACTTGAATGATGCAGACCACAGAACGTTTCCCTTCCAATCAGCTGGAATCTGCCTCCCTGCGGCTTTTACCATTCTGCTAGGTGTGGTCTGATGACTGTAGAGGAGGGTAGCACTCAGCTCCCCTCCCCGCCTTGAGGGACCTTACACTTCTATTCAATTATCACACAAGCAAACATCAGTGCTTAACTCTGTGCAGGGTCCTGGGTGGGGCACTAGTGATAGAGACGAATCAGACCCAGCCCCAAGCTACCCCATCTGCTACTGTTTTCCCTCCATCAGTTAACACCTGTCTCAACCTTCCTCCCCGGGCCAAATCTTACTAATCCTTCCTGATCTATCACAGAACATTTACCTCCTCGAGCATCTTTCTCTGATGCCCCCAGGTTGACTCGGGGCACTCCCACACTGGTTTAGGTGCCTCCTGGAGACCCCCTGCCCCTGGCACAGACCTCTGTCCCAGGCACCCTCACCATGGAATGTATGCGTCCACTTCGGAGGTCCCGACAGCCTAGACTGTGAGTTCCTTGAAGGAAGGGACTTGGATTCATCTCCAGCCACCGAGGCTGGCATCAGCTGGTGTAACCCAGGGACAACTAGTGTGTGTGTGTGTGGGGGGGGGGGGTTTATCTAAGGGTAAATTGGGAGCCAGAACCAGAGATGCTTGGTGGAGCCCCGCCTCTCTCCTCCCCCAAGACCTAGCTCCAGCAGACAGCCAGGGCCCCAGTCTGCTCTTAGCCAGAGTCGGGGGGCCTGCCCAGACTGGGACAGCCAGGGCTCTTGCAGTTGTCTGACTGGCTACTGGATCTACTTCCTGAATGGTTGCAAACCTGAGTAGCAAGAAGAGGAATGTTATTAGTTGATACCACGCCCCCAAAGTAGGATTTCTCTGAAACACAGGGTTGGCCAAAAAGTTCGTTCGTGTTCTTCCGTAAGATGATATGGAAAAACCGAAATGAAGTTTTTGGCCAACCCAATAGTTAATTTGAAGCAAGGGTTTTCTACAGCTAAAAAGTTGCAAGTGCAGGGGTTTAACTCATCTCAGAGTCTTGTGTTTAACCCAAAGAAAGGACACTCCGGAGGCAGCAGGCAGTTCTGGGAAAAGTATGGGCTCTGGGGTCCGACATACTTAGAAGGAGTTTGGGAGGGCTTTCGTAGGAAGTGGTGCTGAAGCAGGCGTGTCTGGATCAGTGTGACTGGCATGTGGGGTGGGGTGGTGGCAGAAGTTGACATTGGACATGAATGCCATGATAAAGGCATGACTGTATCCCCTACGTTAGTGTTTCTTCCCCTGTGACCCCAGAACATACTTCCCTAGGAGGCTAACAGGTGCTCTGTGTATAAGGGCTTCCATGGTGGAATTAGTTTGAGAAAGCCTCACAGGAGAGAGGACAGAGATTCTCACACCCCTAGAGTGCTCTGCTCCGTCTCTCCTTCCACATCTCATTCCAGGAGAGCACGGACCTCGCCTGAAATATTTTTAAGTGAGTAAAATTATATTAAAATGCTCCAAAAAAAATTCCTGCAGGGGGAAATAAAGATCTGTTTCACTTGATTTACTCCAGAATTTCCTAAACTTATTGGACCATTTAGCCACGTTTCATGGATTCGTCCTTCCTCCTGACACAGTTTGGGAGATGGTGGACGCCAAAGCCACAGAGACCAGTCATTGCTTTGAAGGGGTGGGGCGAGAGGCACCTCCCACCCACCTTCTGGCAAGTTCCCTCTGGCTCCAGTGTGAAGAGACGGACCAGGAGGGAACAGCCCCTAATCAAGGCTGCAGACAGCTAGGCCCACTCCTCTGCGCATTCCACGCAGAAAAGGACTTACTTGCTTTTTCTCTTGGGGCAGCTGAGCCCACTGAGCGGCCAGCATCTTCGTGATTTCCGTGAAAGGCAGATCTGGGTGCCTGGCCCTCAGGGGGCTCCTCTGCTCATTTAGGAATATCACGTACCTGCACCAGGAACGGAACAAACACAACAGCTCTGAGCTACCGGCTGGAGCGGAGGCCGCGGGGCCTGCTGCAGCTACTTCCACTTTCAGATTTTCATAAAAATAAACAGTCATGGGTTTGCCCATATTTTTCAATCTAACCAGTGAAATGGAGGTTAATCAAAAAGGGGAAAATATTTGAATGGCTGGCTTATCCAGAGACTGATGGAAGACCTAAGGGGGACCACCCCCGATGGGAGGGGCATGAAGACTGAGTGGGCAACTCACTCAACCCACCTGAGCCTCAGTTTTCCCCTCTGTGTAATGGATATAACACCACCTGCTCATGAGGTTGTTGTGCGGCCCAAATGCTCCAGGTACAGGCCACCCTCCTGATCAGGGATTCGGGTCGAGGGAGAGGGAGAGAGGCTGTGGGCATTGGGGTGAGACAAACCAGTCTTTGGAACAAAAGCCACGTCCCCAGGAATTACAGGAAAACTGAGAAAAGACCTTCACCCTTAGAAATGTGCGGACCCTGAGGATAAAAGAGGAGCAAAGTGACCCTCAGAGCAGTGGGAAGTGACTGGCCTGGGGCCTCTCTTCTGCAGCCTCCGATGGCAGGGGACAAGGGACGGACGGTCTCAGTGCACTTGGGGGGGAGGGGCATTTTGAGCCTTGATGAAGGTTAACTAGCTCCCCTGAGGCCGTGGACCATACATATCTGCAAGCCTGAAAGGGAAACCAGATCTGCTGGCCTCACAGCCACCCCCTTTACCGTCTGTGAGCCAAGCCCAGCTCTCCTTTGAGCATCAGAACCTTATTCTAGCTTAAAGAACTAAGCAACCCTCCCTCACTCCCTGGAGTGTGAGGCCCCGTAACGATCAAGGGCCCTGAAAAACAGACAAAGGCTGAGACGGGATAAGAGGCCATCCAGGCCTGGCACACAGCAGAGGCCACAGGGTGAGCCCAAAATGTTACCTTAACATCAGCCAGGTAATCTCCCCATCTTACCCTGTCCTAGGAGCGCGGGGAACAGGAGGGTCCCTTGGGGGTTTCCTTTTCTTGCCTTTAGGCCAGCCCCCTTTCCTTTTCTGAAAGAGTAATACACAGAGGAAAACCTCAGGACTGTCAACAATGATTTACCATATTCAAATCACAGCCTACAATACGGCAACATACTAAAGTGTCCTCGTCACACTTTACCCACGCGGCTTCCGACCTCCCGGCAGCTCTGCAGCGTAGCAAAAATCGTGCCCTGAAGATGAAAGAACCAAGGCTTGGAGGACATCATCACTGCCCTGGTGTCCCTAGAAGGCAGGGGAGCTGGGGACATGCCCTCCCATTGTGTCACGACTGCACGCGCACATTGGGCACAATCAAGAAGGCAACGTGAGGTTTCTGTAACTCACTTCACAGTGGGTGGGGCCCGGCCTCAGCACTGGGGACAGGGCGTAAACATCTGAGCTGGCCTGGTGCTCAGCCTGGGCTCCCATCTCAGCTCTGCCACTTACCTGTTATGCGGCCTCAGGTAAATTCATAACATCCCCGTCCCTCCGTTTCCCCACTTGTAAAATGGGGATCACAAAAGTTTGAACCTTGTGGGTTGCAGTGAGGATTAAATGTGGAAATATTCATGTATTTCTTAGAATGGAGCCAGGCACCTAGTAAGTGCTCACTAAATGCAGGCTGCCACAATCGAATGCAGACCCCTCCTGTGGCAGCCAGCTCTCGGGGGGGGGGGGAGACCCAAGCTGCCCCTCCCTCTTCTGTTCACTGCGTTTCTTGGGTCATTACAGTGCCTGTGCCCTTGCTGCCACTGAGGCCCTGTGCCGTGTTCGGAGGATAGAGGGCTGAGTAAGACGCAGACCTGGCCCTCAAGCAGCCCAGTCTGATGCAGGAGGTCTGATGCATGTAAATAATGGCAACAATTCATTACAGGGATAACAGTTACAGAATGACAGCCTGGACACCCTTCCATTCACGTCTCAGTTTCAAATTTTCCTAAACCAAACACGCACACGGCACTAATGGTGGAGAGTAATCAAAACGTGGCCAGTTTTCAAAACTCCCTCCCAGACATGCCCATTTTGGCCTTTCCAGGGCCAGGAGACACGCAGTTTGGTCAGTGGCCCAGCAGGCTGGCTGGGTGAGGATCTGGCACTGTCACAGCCAGGCCACATGTGCTGGGGACCAAAGGACATAGGAGGTCAGGGCAGCACCTGGCATGGGGACTTGAGGAACAGGAGGGTAGAGCTCGGGCCAGGCAGAGGCAAAGAGCCAGGCTAGTAGCCACGTGTGTTAGAGAGAGACTGCTGCAGAACACCTAGCAAGGTGCTGGGCCTGCTGTAGGTGCACGACAGAAACGACACTCAGAAATGACAAGATATGACACTCTCCCTTGTTCACGTCCTTGCTGATCCCTGGAGTCTGAAAGTGAAGGACAAGCCTTTCAGGACCCTGGACAGCTCCCGGGTCCCGCGGTCAGCTCTGCTTCCATGCAAGAAAAACTCAAACCGTTTCTACAGTCCGGTTCACTGGGAGCTTTCCAACACACATGTTCCTGAATTCGAGTCTCACGTTCCCCACCAGAAGCAAATATTTCAATCACCCCGTGCCACAGGAAGACACTCAGAAAGATGAATGACTTGGCGGCTTCTGTTAGAGCCGCGCCTTCTGAGGGAGACCCCACAGCTGCCTGGAGTCACGTGGGATGTGGATGGGCTCGCCCAGCCGAGCATCACAGCTGCCACCTCCTGTCTGCCTGCTCAGTTCCTCTGCCGCAGCACACAGGGGAAGTTGTTTGTTTGTTTTTAATTGGAGGAACCACGTTCATTTATTGATATTTATTGTACTTCTCTATATTCTAGTTTCATAAGTCAAAACTAAAACTAAAAACGCTTATCATTTTACTGCCATCTTTGGTCCTTTGTTTCAGTTTCTTTATTAAAAGAAAATCCTTCCTGAGTGTTTTCTTCGTTTGCCTGGAAACCATAGTTACGGAGACAAAGGCACTTGGGAAGGCTGCAGGGACACTTTTCTCTGAAGCTTTTTGTTCTCGCTGAATTTCTCACACAAGATTTATACCAAATTGACTCTGCCCTAAATAGAGCCACGTACACAGTGAGCTGATCATTAGCACAAGGTGTTACTACAGGGAGAGCATTTCCCACACACTGGAGTACATTAGTTTCAAAGGAAAAGCAGAAGTAGAACATGATTGAGCAAGGAAAGACTGATTACCAAAAAAGCGTAGTCAGCAGGAGAGCAGGAAATCCGTGGATTGGCAAAATTCAAGGGGAAAAGATCCATTTCAATTGGATTCTTGACCAGCACAGAACTCTCATGTTCAGACTGTAACAGACGGTGAATTTTGGATATCTGGTTTTATACACAGAATTTTCTTTTACAAAGAATATGTCCATTGGGAGTCAGCAGGGTGTAGCAGAAGGTGTGAGGGGCTTGAGTGACAGATATGGGCTCACTCCCTGGCTCTGACACACTGTAAGCCTGAGCCCGCATTACCTCTGCAGCTCCCAACTGTGACACAACAAAAGGCAGCACTGGGGTGGGTTTGTAGAGGGCCAGCACAGTCCCGGCACATAGCAAGGCTCAATGCATGTATGTTCCTTCTCTCTATTGATGAGGTAAAAAAACTCAAGAACATACCAATGAACAGGATTCTACAAGGCAACTAAGCAGATCTCAAGGAGAAAAATATTTCAGTTTATGCAACTAATCACGTCAATCATTTGGGAACCAGATCAAAGCTCAGATGATGATTATAATCATGGTTGGGAAAAGGATCTTGGCCCCAGTGGTTTTACAATCAACTCCCCCAGCAAAGTCCAGGTCCTGGTTTATTTTCCCACTTAGCCACACTGTGCACTCCACTCCACTCCTCACCAGCTGCTTTTCCTGCACAGAGAATGAACGGGGGTCATCTCCCAGGTGAGAACTGCTCACCTCACCCCAGAACCTTCACCAGAAACCCTAAGTTTCCTGGAATAGTTAGTTAGGCCCAGGAGCCAAGCTCTTTGAGATCGAATCCTGCTCTGCCATTTACTGTGTGACCCTGGGCAAGTTCCTTGACTTCTCTGTGCCTCACAGGGTTGAGAGGATTTGAAGAGACAATGCCCAGGAGTGCCAGCCTAGAGCTCGGAGCACAGAACACACTAAACACACGGGTGTTATCACTCATGTCACGATGCCAATGCAGCACATGAGGCCCTCTGTGCCTGCCCTGGACCGCACTTGCCTTTCGCTCCTCTGTGTCCCGCTCCTTCGGGTCCCCCGGTTCAGCCAGCACAATGTGCTGAGTGGGCTGAGACACCAGGTCCCAGCAGCGTGTCTGGATCACGGAGCTCCCAGGTAGTAGGCTGCCTGTCCCACTTGGAGATGGGAGAAGGAATTCTATGGGTGCTAGAACAAGAAAAGGCACATAAGGTCAGAGACATTGAAATCACCACCACCCCTGGAGTCCATCCAACACTCCAGGCACTCTGTGATATGCCATTTGCGTTTTCAAATGCCCACAAGTGACAGCAAATGCCTAAAACCTGAGCTGGTGGTCATTTCTCCGGGGCACAGATGGTAAGGACAGGGGAGGTGCTACACAGAAACAAGTCACTCCCTGTGAGCAGGGCAACCAAGCTGGCCCTCAGGTCCTGCTCTGTTGGACCTGCCTCACGGACCCTTGCCCAGGGGAGCATCATGGTTAGAAGTGTGGGCTCTGGACTCAGACCGTTGGGGTTCAGCCCCCAGGTCCCATGAGTCAGCTTCACGTCAGCAGCAACACACTTCACTTGCCGGGACCGTGGCTTCCTCTTCACAATGTTAGAGCAAACTTCAGACCAACTTCATGGAGTTGTTGAAATGCCTGTTCACACCCCAGGTATTTACAGGATGCCTGCAATATGCTGGACACGGCAGACAACAGCGCATAGAACAGACAGATATCCAGTCCCCCCGGAGTTTACATTCTAAGGGTGGGGGATTACACTAAAACTTGTAGGGTCCTCAGAGCAGCACACAGCCCTCAGTAGGTTCTCAGTAATGTCACTGTTATTTTAGTGGCATTTTAAATTGGTGCATTTACAGAAAATTATCCTTTGAGAATGTCAAGAAGGTTATCTGCGGTCAAATTATCCCCTGATCCCCTATGAAGTAGGCGGGATGGTAATTATGATCCCATTTTACAGATGGGAGAGAGGTGGGAATGGGACAATACACAGCTCAGATCTATTAAATGTATGCACGACCTACACACACACACACACACCCCTGTTTGTAGATGGAGAAACTGAGGTGCCTGGAAGCAAAGTGATTCCAGAGAGAAGCCTAGAATCACACAGGTGGGAAAAGTCAGGTGAGATCTTGAACCCAGGTCTCCTGGTTGCCAGCCCAGCGGTCTGTCCTCCTCCTCTAACCTGCACCCCCTATGGTTCCTCGTGCGGAGGGGAAGGTAATAACTTTCAAGTGACCATGCTCAAGAGTGACCCCATCAGTAGCCCATTAAGAACTACTTAACAACCACAATGCAGGCCCCCTGCCAAACAGCTCCAGACGCTGACTTGTCTTAGAGTGAGGAAAGACAGGAAGGAATCCACTGACTTCCCTCTCAGCTTCCTGGGAAGGGGAAGTGCGGCAAATAGTGATGACAAAACCCAGCATTCTGGAACTTTCTTTGGCTTGTATCCACATGGCCAAGCCTGGTCCAGGCCTTGTAATCCATCACTAGGACTGTTCTTGTTTTTTTAAATGGTATTTCTGTTTTGAACCATAACTCGTGGGTATGGCTCAGAAATGGGGGGAGGGTACCCAAGGGTGATGGTAAAGGGTAGACAGTGCCCCTCCCTGGTCCTCCAGCACCAAGTCCCCTCCCTGGAGGCTACCGGCTAGGGGGCTCTTCACATGCCCTTCCAGAGCTAGTCTGTTCATTTACAAACACTCCTGTCCCCCACACAATGGCAGACTAGTTGCACTGCACTAAATTTACTCCTTTCATTTACTACGTCTTTGAGTTCTTTCTGCACCAGCCCATTTACAGTCGCTGCATTTTCTGGTGAACGGGCCACAGAGAAGTTAGTGGCCCCTAGTAACAGATGCAGGATACTCCTGGTTTGCACACATAGCTTGCATGCAGTGGGCTCTCTAGAAATCGGGTTGCTGGGTCAAAGGGCATGTGTGTTTGTAATTCAGATGGACCCTGGCTGGCACATACCCCTCCACAGGCTGGACCCACTTCACGCCCACCAGCAGCGTAGGACCTGGCTTCCTCCTGAGGATCCCTGCCTCTGGGTCCACAGGTGAAAATCTCACCACCTCCCTCTCTGCTCATACCACTCTATGGCTCCCCCTGACTTCGGCATGGAGTCCAGGCCCCCTAGCCTGGTACTGAAGCTCCAGGAGGCTGGGCCCTAATGACTCATCCAGCTGCACGCTCATCCAACTGATACAACTGACTCCAAAAGGTGGTGATGAAAATGTACAATAAGCAGACCCTTTATGCATATTATCCCATTTAATCTTCAGCATGACTGATTACCATGGCAATATCCACAGATGGAGAAAGAAGTTCAGAGAGGTCAGTGACCTGCCCAAGTGTCCACAGCGGGGCAGGGCAGATGGGACCCTCCACCTTGGGTTGCCTGCTCTTCCCATCTCCCCAGCCATCTCACCAACAAGCAGAAATCCTCTCCCATCTAGTACAGCCCGACTGCTGATGCCCTGAGCCCACTGAGCGCAGCCCCAAATCTCCCCTGCCTTGCCTTCACCCTTTTCCAAGGATCCAGGAACAGCAGGAAGGAACCCATTTGGAGGACAGCTCTCAGTCGATTCATTCATTCAGTGGACAGACATTAGGACCAGTGCCAGGCCGCAGGCAGCGGCTGCAGAAACAGCAGTGGCTGACAATGCAGAGTGTAGGGAGCTCTAGGTCAATACCAAGTCCTAGTTCCTTGGAGGGCAAAAGCCATGGTGATTGCCTAATGCTGAGACTGTGGAACAGTCTATGACTTGCTCAAGCCCTTCAATCCAGAGACAAGTGGTGCCTGCCCTGGGGCACTGGCCTCCCCACTTACTGGACAGTGCAGTGGTCACCCCATGCCTCAGCCAAAACGTCTGGCCTCAGAGCCAGCTCTGCCACCTATTAGGCACATCATCTCTCGTTCCTCAGTCTTCTCAACTGTAAGATGGGACTACTAAGAGGTGGCACGGTTATTACAGTGCCTGGCTCCCAGATAGCAGGCTACAGCCAAGAACTGGTAGTATTCTAACGTCGTCAGAGTCTGCGTTGGAACGTGAGAATACAGTCTTCAGAGTTCAACTTTAGGCTCGAATGCCACCTGCCCGCAGGTGACAGAAACACATCAGCCAGGAGCAAATTACGGGATTTTCACTAAATTATCATACAAGGTCGGGAAACGGGATTTTCTGCATAAAGGGAAGGTTCTGGACAGAGACCTGAATCTTTCCAGCGTCAGTTTCAACATTTGCACGGTAGACGCTGAAGCTCTGACACCCACCGACCTGGACTCGAATCCTGGTTACTCCCCTAACTACCCGAGGGGCTCGTTCAAGTCACCGAAAGCCCTCTGTTTCTCACTGTGGAGCACAGTCCCCGCCCCCAGGTCGCCAGGGCGTTACACGGGACAGGTGAGTACAGGTTCTCTGAGCCGAGCGCGCGGCCCGAGCGCTGCACAACGCAACAGCTCTCCTGACCAGAGTCGCCCCCTGACGCGCAAGCGTCCGCCCCCAGCAGCGACTGGTGACCGTGGCGGCGGGCCGGGATCGCAGGCCGGTTCCGGAGCCAGGGCCGCCCCTGCTTCAGCACTGGCGGCCGCGGACGGCGCCGGACCCGCTCTCGGGCGGGGGGTCTCAGGGACGGGGAAGAGGTCACCAGAGCGGGGACTGGGGCGGCGGGGGAACAGACGGGCACCTGCGCCGAGGGACGCGCGGGGAACGGACCGGCCCGGCGCAGGCCCCAGTCACGTGCCAGGGCCTGGGCACCGCCCCTGGCATTCACACCCGCGCCGCTGGGCTGGGCTGCACCGGGACGCGCCCACCCCGTCCCGGGGACAACCCCCCCCCCCCACTCCCGGGGAGCGGGGCGCGCGCGGCAGAGGGGAGGGGCCGCAAGTCCAGCCACTGACCCGCAGCCTGGCCGCTGTCCCGCTGCATGTCGCCCGCCCGCCGGGGCCACCACCCCGCGCCGGCGGCTCCGGGCTCGGCCCACCCGGTGCGCCAGCCCAGCGCCTGCCGCTCCGCCCCGCGCCCTCGGCTCCGTTTCCGCCCCGCCCCGCACGCCGTGGGCGGGCTCTCTGGAGCCGTCGTTCCCCGCGCTGCTGCCCGTCACAGGGGCGCGGGCTTTGTCCGCCTTGGACTGCGTCTGGCCGCTGAGACGTGGGCGGGCGCGTGGGTCGAGAGTCCCAGCCGCGCGGGGGAGCTCCGGGCTCCAGGCTTTCGGAGTAACCGGGGTCTGGGCGGGGCCAGAGCGGGAGGAGCGGAGGACAGGGCAGCCCCGCCCCGCGGCCGAAACCCCGCTTTGAGGCTGCGGGTCCCTCCACCCGCCCCGTCAGTTACGTAAGTGCCCCTATTTATACGTCTCAATATTTTCAAGGCACACAAGAATGCATAATACATTAACACTGTGGCGAAATTAGAAAATCCAGAGCAGCCAGCCCCTCTCGCGGAATCCAGCGCCTCAAAGCCAACCACCTGTAAACCCATTGGAGGGCCTCCTTTACGTTAAAAAAAATTTCAAAATGCACTTTAAAAGATAATTCTAAATATTTAGAGATAGCCACGAGCTCCACCCGCCTTCCAGTGGCAACACTTCCACGTTCGCATATCTCCTTTCGGTTTGTGGCAGGTGACCCGAAGGCAGTCATGGGCTCCACACACTCTCTGTGTGTAATTTAGAGGTTACCTATAGGAAGGAACGGTCCCTGGAGCCACACGGTCTGAGTCCACCAGCCTACCTCTACTGGGTGACCTTGGGCTGGTTACTTCACCTCTCTGGGCCTCACTCTGTTCATCTGAGAAGTGGGGATAATACTAGTGCCCATTAGATAGGACGGTTGTAGGATCAGTGACCTAATACTCCTAAAGTACATCAGAGGCAGTCAAGAAATGTGTCAGTTATTGTTTCTGAGGTTTTCTGCATGTATCAAGGGTAATGAGCAGTAATCATGTAAATACATAATTTGGTCTTTTCATACTCCCCACAGCTCCCCACTCCTTTCCCTTGTTTTTATTTTTAACCAACCAATGGCTTCAACAAATAAGCCACTAAAGGTCTCTGTTCCTCAGTTTCTTCCTCTGTAGAATAAAGATAATATTAATAGCATCACAGGGATGTTTGAGGATTAAATGAGATGCTGTGAGAGGTGAATGTGTAGAATCGTTGAGTACCACACCTGGTGCCTGGTGTGTATTTCGCGGCTAATGACATAAATAGCTGGTCTTACCACTGGTGTTGTCCATGCCCACAGGGAAGCCCCAGGGCTTAGTCAAACTGGACTGGGACTACAGAGAAGGAAAGGATCCCAGGAATCCTGAGTACCAGCCCTTTTTTTTTGCCAGTGGAGGAAACTGAGTCCTGGAGAGGGAGAGTGGCTTGCCCAAATGAAGCTCCTTCTACCTCCCCATGCAGCTTCTCGATTCAGTCTAATTAAATGCAGCAAATACAGGAGGAGATCTCCTCCTTGCAAAACTGAGTAAAAAATATTCTCTTAAAATAAATCCTTGAGATTAGCTAGGAAAATTGTGAAAGAGAAGAATATTCAAGTGAGACTTGTATTTTCTTACATCAGCCTGTACATAAAGCCACTGGAATCTAATCAGTAAGGTGCTGATAGAGGAATGGATGAATACATGAGTGTAACAGAAGATGGAACCAAAATTAAATCCCAGAATATGTGTTAGTTAATTTATGACAAACATAATAGCTTAATTCAGAAAAAGAAGAGAATGAATTATTAATCAATACTGCTAACTGGCTAGCCACCTGAGAAGAAAAAGGATGGACTCCAATCTAATTTCAAATACAAAAGTAAATTCTAGATGGATTACAGACCTAAAGTAATAAAGGAAACAATAAAAATAATACAAGACATTGGGATCCCAATATCATGCTCAGCTAGATAGCTCAACTGGACCACCCTCTCAGATCAAAGTACAGAGATGGGAGATTGTTTACAACAAACTTAAAATGCCCTGCTGAACCCACGGGGAAATATCCCACACATAAAAAGAATCATCACACCTCCCACACACAAAAAAGAATAATCAGCCCAAAACAGAGTGGGTGTTAACACAGAAATCTGAGCTCCACAGGATACAACCACCTATAACATGAACTTCAAGTTTTAGGGACTCATGCTGGTTCAGTGGACCAATGAAGAAAACCTGCTCATACCTGCTGCCTCTGGGTGGAAAAACTACAAATGATATAAATAAATAGTTTCTCCTGAGAATTTGTAGCCAGAGGACTACTCCCATGTGTGTCTGGGGTTCAAATTTGCACTGCCCCCAAAGTAAACTCACCCATCAAACTGAATTAAAATAGTTGCAGGTTAGTATCGCCCCCTGGAGCCCAGAATAAGCAGATGCAAATGTTCTCTGGAGAAAAAGCATCTTCAATCCAGGCCCATCACCGTATACCATATATGAGCTCATAATAAAAATTACCACAGGCACGAAGAAATAATGCAATATAAGTGAGATTCTGAAGAGTAACATTAGTTTAAATACTGAAGTATTTCTGATAGTAGACACATAATCCGCAGACTAAAATTAATCATGTATAAACAAAAAATGTTAAAAGAAATAAAAATGGGATAAAAAGAGTTCAAAGAACAAAAGTCAAACAAAATAACCAGGAACATTTGAAAAAGAATCAACTAAAACATCTTGAAATAAGAAATATAATCACTGAAATAAAAACCTCAATTGATGGGTCATATAGCAGATCAATTATCTGAAGAGAAAATCAGTTAACTGAAGGACAGATTTGAGGATATTACCCAAATGCAACTCAAAGTGACAAGGAAATAACAAATAGGAGAGAGAGCTGTGGAGGCACACATGATAGAATATGAAAGTCTAACGTCTGTCTAGTTAGAGTTCCACAAGATGAAAATAGAGAAAGTGGAGGAGAAGCTATACTTAGATGATGACTGAGAATTTTTCACAATAGTTCGAAGTTGCCAAATTTCAGATCTAGGAAGAACAACGTATAGTAAGCAGCATAAATAAAAAGAACCACACATAAACATATCAGATGAAACAAGAAGACATCAAAGATAGAGGAGTAAAAGACAGATATTCAACAGTTACCATATTTCATCAATTCTAAGTTGCATATTTTCTCACCATGTAACATGCATGATGTTGGGACCAATCTTACTGATAGAGTATTACGATTCTAATTGACAAATTGACAGAGTAGTTCTTACTGGTAATAAAATATTGGTGCATCATATACTCAGTGATGTCTTAGAGTGAGTGAAATATGGTAGACTGGCCACAGACACGTCAACAGCAACAACGGAAACCCAAAGACAGAGACGTGGTAAATTCAAGGTTCTGAGAGAAAATAAAAACAGCATTTAGATTGCTGTTTCTGTCGCTGGGGAAAACTGGACAAACTATATGAAAAAATTGTTTTCAGATATTGGACAACAGACAGAGCAGAGCTCTGATCCCTGAAGGAAAAGAAGCAAATAAGGAAACTCTATAACCCGGCTTCCTGTCTGGGAGTACTTCCCCAAGTGCAGTGCAACGAAGAGGAATCAGAGCAGGGCACACATTTGCTGAGTTGAGGAGAGAGAGAGAGAAGAGAG